AATGAGCTGACAACCTGTTGCATTAAGTAATCCTTGCAAGATCCATTCAAAGGTTACTTTTTGCTCATCTACAATTAAAGCTGTCGCCACAAGACGTAATCTGTTATGATTATCAATACATACAACAACACACATTATCATATTAAACCTATTCGTTTTATAGGTTGTGTCAAGTAAGATGACATCATAAAAACAACTCCAAATATCAATTTGCTTGGGGTGCAACCAAATGAGCTCTACAAGGTGATTGTCGCTTCTTTCAAATTTTGTATCGACATACTAGCCAGGTACTTCCTCTTTTCGACGCATTAGCTCTTTATAAGTAGCACCTGCATCACTTAGTTTTCCTTTCTGCGCTTTGATCAGTTGAACAACATTGTAGACACTACGTGCATGAACATATTGATTTGGATATTTATGTGTCAACACATTGATAATCGCCCCAGTTCGTACACTACTAGCAGCAAGAAGTTCAATATCATTTCGCATCTCAGGCGTAAGGCGACGATATTGAGGTGCAGTCATTTGAATATTATCACTCATTGGATGTGAATGCTTGCCGATTATACCTGAAATATGTACTTGATTATCACTCTTCCATCTGTGAAAATTAATATGATATTCACATTCACTATTCTCATGCATTTTGTTTCTTTTCTCTAATGTATGTGCTTTTTTTCGTACTTCATAGCGACGCTCTTTGGAGCAGTAGTAAACGCGATGCCTAGGTATTCCATTGTTTTTGTCCAATTTGCTTTTTGCTAAAGAAAAAGCAAATCCTCATTCACGATCATGTTTGTCAAGCCAATTTTTATTGGTTAATATATGCTATATATGGATAAAAAAAAAAAAAAAAAAGCAAACAAAGACAGCATTCAACTTACTTTTTGACCTCTTTCCAATCACCAAAACTTTGTCCTTTGTTTAAGAGGTATAATCCCTCTTCTGAATCAGTTAAATCAGTTTCAGCTTCAGATTCAGTTAAGCTATTACTTTCTTCAGAACATAGTTGTCCATTAGAATTCAAAATATCATCAAATAGACTCATCTCTATGTTGCTAGAGAAACACAGTTCTGCTTCATCAAATTCGTCTTCACTCCCTATTTTAAAAAGCTATATGAAATTGGTTTTATTAGTTTATGTAATGCACTCTGGTTATGTAGAATATAAGCTAAAAAGTTAGTAAGTTAAAATAAGATCTAATAGTTATGCAAAGTAAAGTTTGCACACATCATGTATATAATATGTAAATCATATAATTATTATATAGTTATACCAATAAGTGAAAATCACCATAAGTGCGTTTTATAATAATTGAAAAATAAGTACTATATGAAATTATTTTCAAGGTTTTTATTTTTATACAATACTGTACTAGTTTAAGTAGAAGCAAAAAGGGAGTTCTGGCACAATTTTGTTACCAGTATCAATCTTGCATATAAATTCGCTTTTGCATCGTCAAATTAATGATTTTTATCTAGAACGCATTTATTTACCCAAATTCATATCAAAAATGGATAAATGACGATAAATTTATACTTACATTGTTGCTCGAATGACGATAAATTTGTGTTTGCATCGTCATTCTAGCACAGTGATATTATTTTTTGTATATCTAGAATTCAATCTTTTGCTCAAATTTATATCA